GCCCATCCCCAGGGTATATGGGCCTATGGGGTGACTCACTCTAAGGTTGCCTCATATGCGTTATTTGCTTCCACAGGAAAGTACTTACCCTTACTGTGGCAACAGATCATTTGTTAATAGAAAAACCTAGTGGTGTAAATGGATAAGAGACATCACACCACAGCCTATGTCTCTCTTCCCATTGGGGGTGGGGGGTGGGGGAGTTTGCAGCTCAAGTGTCAAGTCTGGGTGTTAAATGTTTCAGTTGAGACCCTTTTACTAGCCATTAGGTTCGATGGACTATCCCTTCTCTGGCTGGATCATCACCAAAACACTATTGGAAATTCCTTGGGCTTGGATGGTGAAATAGGAACCTGTCCATGAATCTCATTCTTTTTCCTGAACATTTTCTTTTCCTTGGGAGTTTTGGTAAAAAAAGGGGGGAAGCATACCCACCTTCCAACCTACTTCCTTCACTGCCCCCTTCAAAAATCAGGCTCTTTGCACTGCAGATACCATTAAGCTTAAATTCTTCTAAGCTTCTCTATATAAATTGCCTTGATATTGTCTTCTAAACCACACATCTACTTAGATATTGTCATGTCTTCACTTACTGTGGGCTTGCTGTAGTTCTCTAGGACCGTACACTGATTGTCAATTTGAATATTTAATTCTCTCTCCTCCCTTTGTCTCATTCATGACTTGTTAGGTAGACTTAGATCACATCCTTGTTGTTGTGCCTTTGGGGGCGATGTCAAACTCTTGGAAGGTTGCAGTGCCTGCTGTGGCTGTAGAGACATCCATGCTGCAGTGAAAACGCATGGCTTGCCTTAATATTGGGAACTGTGGTCTGTTAAGGGTGCTGGTAATTGTAGCTCCATGAATGGGCAAACTACAGTTCTGAGGGTTTTTAGGGAAAGCCATGTGCTTTAAATGTATGTGAGTGGATGTGACCTTATTTTTTGACTGGCAGTGTATTATCCTCAAAAGCATATCTTTGAAATCTGACCATCTTTCAAAAAACCCTCAGTTACCCTCCCAGAGCTGCAAGAAACCACGAGATGCAACTATAGCCAAAACAACGAGATGCAACTATAGCCAAAACACTTTTAATAGGAAAATGCTGGCCAGAGGATAAGAATGCTGCAGAGTTAGGGCTCATGCCTTCACAGCATATTTCCGAGGCGGGTACCGGCGTTCTTTTCGCTGCTGCTTTTTGGTCTTCAGACCTTCTTCATGTTTGTTTAGCCTGCGCCGCATGGCATGAGTCTTCTTAGGCCGCAAGTCTAGAGGCTTGTATTTCTTGCCCTGCTTGCAGAACAGAGAAGCTAGGCTCAGAATGGACTTTTAGAAGAGATACGGGAGACCTCATGAACAAAAACAGAGGCTGCTGCAGTTTGAAATTCTGGGTACTCAAAAATGTGACCACTTTTGTGTCAGTAAGGCTTGGTGAAGGCTACTTGCCTGGCTGCCTGTGGCAAATGCAAACACTACAAAAGGACTAGCCATTGTAATGGCTATATGCTCCCTCCAGGATCAGAGGGCACTAAGCCTCTCCATACCAGTTGCTGGAGAACAGTGCATGTCTAATCCAGGGATGGAGAACCTTGGGTCCTCCAGCTGTTGCTTAACTAAAACCCTCATCGTACCTGACCACTGGCTGTGTTCACTGGGAATGATGGGAGTTGTAGTTCAGCAGCACCTGGAGGGCCAAAAGTTCTTCATGCCTGGTCAACTCAAACTGGCACATAGAGAGCTGCCTTATACTCAGTCAGTCCAATGATAACTCTAGCTCAGCATTGTTTACTCTGAGTGGATGTCCAGGGTTTCAAATGGGAACATTGCCAGCTATACCTGGAGATGCAGGGGATTGAACCAGGGACCTTATGCAGGCAAAGTAGATGTTCTGCATGCATAATCTGAAGAGCTATGGCCTGAAAATCTTCAGATACTCATACACAGTAAAATTAATGACGTTTCTTGTCTAGTTTTAAAAATTTTTGCTTACAAAAATCGTATCTCCGCACCACCCAAAATGTGTTTCAGTTAAAGATTTCCAGAAGAGCTGCATCACTGGCCATCGGCCCATAGAAAGGTTACCCAGAGGCCCAGACCATTGCTCATAAGTACGACACACTCAGAGCATTGTGTACCTACTAGACAACTGCTTAGACCACATGGCCCAGCAAAAGTTATCCAGTAGGAGGCTGCTTTAGCAAGTAAAGATTCACACTGCATCCATGGAGTTTTGAGCAGTGCTGGTTGTTGGCCTTGCAATCTCTTTGGAAAGACGCCCCCCCCCGCCCCCAATATTGAGATTATCCAAGCTGCCTTAATATTTAATCCACTTAAGGCTCTTCCCAGAGTTAATAGGTTGCATCCAACCAAGGTCTACTCATAACAGAACCACTGGAATTAATGGGGCTAACTTAAGACATGTGCACTCATTTCAATGGTTGTGCTGTAAGAACGGAATGTGGATGCTTGCGAAGATAACAGCCTGGGACTCCAGCCTGTCTTTTACAGGATTTATTGAGTGCAAAACTTATGTACGGTACAGAGGTTTCAAAAGCATGTCTGCCTCAATCGCTAGAACCACTTCCAAGCTAGGGAGGAGGTGGGGTTGCGGGCTTCACACCCCTCCCCACACTCGCGGGGGCTGGCTTCAGCCCCCGCAATACCAAGGAATCCTTGGATGCGTCATACCCCGAGCCAGCCAATCGGCTGGCCCGGGGGGCGTGGCCTCGCTTTACTTAGGTCTGGCGCGGCCGAGGGTCTCCCTCTTTCCTGCGCCGCAGCTGATCAGGTTTTTCGCTCCTTACTGCAGCATTCAGCCTTGGTGTTTAGCTGTGGATTCCTTTTGCTTGGTGACCCCTTATTGCCTTGTGTGCAGGAGCAACCGCCGCTGCCGTCCATCGCCAGCCTTAGAGAGAGCTTTCATGCTGGGGGCTTTTCCTTGCCTGCGATCGCCGACCGCTACAAATTGAGCTGGAATCACTGGGGGGGGGGGGGGTTAATTTACAGGCTTTCTTCTATTTGCGTGTTGCTGGCGTCAGCAGATCAGCTGGTTCCGACCGGCACGGTTGCTCCGGGTGCCACTAGAAGGGCTGCTCTTTTGAGGGGCTGCTCTCTCCAGGATCTCCTCTTCCTCCCAAGCTCTAGATCAACGGGTCCTTTTCCTGACCGCCTTTTCCGCGTCACGAGCGCTTCGCTTCCCTGTTCCAGGAGTGGTAACGTATTGAAAGGGAATTTTCTTGGGGCTATTTGAATTTATTAGTGGCAGGAGCGGGAGAATAGCGGCGCTCTGGGGTTCGTTCTTAGTTGGCTGGCAAAAATTTTTCTCCAGGGTTGCCTGGGTTACTAGGGCAGCATCGCAGTCGGGAGGCACACGTGACCACCCGACAGCAGCCATAAGCAGCCACCATCTTAGGAGAGGCAACCCCAGCCTCAATTGCAGCCCATTCTGTGCTCCTTGCTCGTCTTAGTGTTTCCTGATTGTGCGCAATTCTCCGTCCCCTTAAAAAAGACTAATCGTCCGTGGCGTGCAGGGGTTAATAGCGCGTGTGGAGTCCTTTGCAGCCGAACCGAGGGTGATCGTTACCAGTCGCCTTGGTTACCATTCATAGCACCGCCATTTTACGGAACCCACGTGTTTCGCAGCAGTAGTTCCGAACAGCGGCCATTTTAGGTGAGGCAGCCAGCTGCCGGCACCGCGTTTCTGCTGATTTCTGTTTCTCTGCCTAGTGTTAACCCCGGGTCTGCCACTTACCCTTTTAATTCATTCTCTTTAATTCATTACCCCTTTTAATTCACTTTTAATTCACTCACATTTTAAAGGGCTGCATCCCCCCCTCTGCAAATTGAAAGGAAGTATCGGAATTGGCGTATTTATAATCACCCCTCCCTGCTGGGAGTTTAGCGCTCTATATTAAGCGTCCGGAAAAACAAGAGCAGTTAAGAGCGGGGAGCGTCCAAGGCTAGCGGCTTATCCCTGCGCTGCTGTGGGGAGGGGCCTCGGGAGCAGATTGACACCCCACGCTGCCTGTTCTTCTCAGGCTCATTCCAGCATCGTAATTAAATTGACTTTGTAGATTTTGAGGATTTGAATAAGGACCATAGTAAAGTGCTTTGTGCAAAATTATAACGACTATTTTATTGGAATCAAGCAAGTCTGGAATTTAAGTGCCCAGTGCATGAATTTACCGGTCCCTTAGCTGATATTAGGCCTGGGTGCAGGACTCTATTGGTCTATTATTTGGTATTAGGTGCCGGATTTGAATTCAAGTGCTTGGCAAATAATTTAATTGGGTGTGAATCAAGCGCTTGACTCAGGGCAAATTTCGATTAGGAGCAATTTGAGCGTGTGGGGCAGGACCTAATTACACAGACTGGGGACCCAGTGCTGCTAACTAGGATTATAAGAGTTTAAGGGGGACGCTTTGGTATTATAACATTGCATTGCAATTCTAACCTTAATTTAAGGAGCTTGCTGCCTACGTTGTTGGGGCATTGCAGGAGTGTTCAGCTTCTTTCTACCAGACTTTTAGAAAACATCTGAAGGCAGCCCTGTTTAGGGAAGCTTTTAATGTTTGATGTATTAGAGGATTTTAATTATTTTTTTTTGAAAGCTGCCCAGAGTGGCTGGGGAAGCCCAGCCAGATGGGCGGGGTACAAATAACAAATTATTATTATTATTATTATTATTATGGTTAGCAACACACCTTTAGTTTCGCCTTCTAGTCCTTTCATTTTTAGGTGGTGGCAGAGAAAACCCAATAAGACACTTCTTTTCTCTGGTGCATAAGGCTTGATAGCTAAGCGTTACTGCAACCCAATTAGGGTGCTTCGCGCCTATTGTACCAGCCTTTGTGGGGAATACTGGTCTAACGCGCTCACTGTGAGCTTATATCGGTCGGTATATACTAAATTCTTCGCGGCATGCATACGTCATTGCCCAGCGTAGTCAATACTGCGATCCTGAAGCATTTGCCCAATTTTTCTCAGCCTCCGAAACCTTTGATATGCGGTGCAGGCCGGGAGTGAGGGCGCTTCCTGCTCCCCCTCCTGCATCCCAGGATTACATACCTGACACCCTTCCAAGTAATCAAGAGCACCCTAGTACCTCAGCCTCCGGTCCTGGCACCGCCCCACCAGCAACCACCTCTGGTTCCCGCCCCTTAACACGCTCCCAGTCTTCTCGCTCCCTTAGGTCAAAATCGGGTTCCTCGGGCAGTAGGGCGCCTCACAAAGGGCCTACCAGTACTAACACTCAGCAGGCCATAGATGTGCCCAGTATCTTTCAGGATCCACCACCACAGCCCACAACTGCAGTAGGGGATTCTGGGTCCTCTTCCAATGAGGAACACCAAGGACACCAGGATGTGCCCTCGGCTGCAGCCCCAACCACGACTACCAGTGAGGAGCAGGGTGGAAAAAGGAAATCCAAGAAGAAACACACGTTGAAGAAAAGCAAGAAAAGCAGGACGTCAAACTCCGAGGACAAGTCAGGTACCTCCTCTTCCGATTCAGATAGTGACGCCCCTATGGAAGATTACTGGGGTTTGGGCGAGGACATTTCCAGGCTCCCGTTGTGGGTGCACGAGAGGAGGGCCAACTCCCATCGTAAGTCCTTAAACGGGTCCCTAAAATGGAAAGGGGGGTCATTGGTGGAAGATGTAAAAACACCCACCAATGTGTCCACTGACTTTATATTAGGAAACCACTTATCCCAAAAGAAGAGGACTAAGATACTTAACGGGGACTACATTGATATATTTACTCTCCTCCCCCCGACTAAAATGACAGGGAAAGGAGAAAAGAAATGTTTATATGAGAAGCGGAGGTATAGAACCCCCCGAGCCGAGCGCACTTTTGAGAATTGGTTAGAGGGGTACCAGGTTTTTATGGGGGTAGTTTCGGCGGCTTATCCCAAATGCGCGATGCACCTCATTGCACACATGGCGCATGTGAGAAGGGCATTTGCACTAGCGGGGGAGAACGCAGCTTTATCTTATGATGAAGATTTCCGTAGAAACGCTTCCCTCTTACCATCCACTCGCTGGGACCTGAGGGACCAGAATTATTGGATGGAGCACGTAGGCCCTTATGTTGAAAAGAAATCGCAGGACTCTTCTAATGTCGGGAAGGTGGAGTCAAAGCGGCGATGCCAATGCTGGGACTTCAACAGGGGGGTCTGTTCTCGTACGGCCTGTAAGTATACTCACGAATGTGAGAAGTGCCTCAGCAACAATCCGGCCTCCACATGCTTTAAGGGTAAGCAGCCCTTTCGGGGTGGAAGGGAGTACTCACACCAGGGCACAAGGGGTACCCCCAGACAACCCCATGGGACTGCTGGGAACCGCCAGTAGTAGCTCTCTTGGGTTAGCCTTCACTCCAATCAAATTACATCCCTTATGAACCCTGCTAGATAGTTACCCTGATAAAAAAGCAGCCAGATACCTTTGGGAGGGGTTTTCCTTAGGCTTTAGAATACCGGTTTCTTTCCCACCCAACCCTTGCGATCCTCCTAATCAGAAATCAGTAAGGGAAATGCCAGAGATCACGAGAAAGAAAATTCAAAAGGAAATTGCAGCTGGGAGGGTGGCCGGCCCCTTTAAGCAGCCCCCTATCAACGGTTTGCAAATTTCCCCACTGGGCATTGTCCCTAAAAAAGCCCCCGGGGAATTCCGCATGATCCATAATCTTTCCCATCCAAGGGGTGGCTCGGTCAATGATGCCATACCACAAGAGCTTTGTTCAGTAAAATACGCTTTTTTCGACCAAGCCGTAAAACCGATACGCAGATTTGGAAAAGGGGCGCTGCTTGCACAATGTGATATAGAATCGGCCTTTCGCCTCCTGCCAGTGCACCCTGAAGATTTTCGTTGGATGGGCTTCAGGTTCAAAGGATCATACTTCATCGACAAAGCAATGCCAATGGGTTGCTCAGTGGCATGTGTGGCCTTCGAATCCTTTAGTACATTCCTGGACTGGGCGCTCCAATTCAAAACAGGTTCCAACGGGGTCTCACACTACCTCAATGACTTTATTCTCGTTGCAGCTACAGAACAGCAGTGCACCGACCTGTTGAGGGCGTTCATCTCCCTAGCAGAGGAACTTGGCGTTCCGCTGGCGGCGGATAAAACCGAGGGCCCGGCAACGACCATGGTTTATCTAGGCATAGAATTAGACACAATTGCCCAGTCCTCCAGGTTACCAAGGGAAAAACTAGTGGCGCTTAGGGACTAAATTCAACAGCTCCTCCCATTAAAAAAGGTTACCCTCAGGCAAATTCAGTCTTTATTAGGTCATCTAAATTTTGCGTGCCGAGTAGTATCCCCGGGCCGCCCTTTCTGTGCCCGCCTGGCAAGATTGTCGGCGGGCCTTCGTGCTTCCCAACACAGGGTTCGTCTTTCCAAGGCGGTTAAATCCAACCTGGAAGTTTGGCTCCAATTCTTGGACAACTACAATGGCATTTCTCTTTGGCAAGACACCATGCTGCTCCATGCCGATTTTCAAGTCCAATCCGATGTGGCAGGTTCTCTAGGGTTCGGGGTCTATTTCAAGGGGCAGTGGTGCGCACAACACTGGCCCTCTGACTGGCAAGGAAAGCCCATCACCCGGGATCTTACCTTTTTAGAATTCTTCCCCATCGTAGTGGCAGTTCATTTATGGGGTGAGGTATTTAGTAACCACAGGGTGTGCTTTTGGACCGACAATCAGGCGGTAGTATCAGTTCTCTCAACCCAGTCATCGCGCTCCCCAAGGGTGGGTAACCTCCTACGTTCCTTTGTCCTCCTGTGCCTTGAGCGTAACATCTATTACTCTGCTAAGTTTGTGCCGGGCGTTAGTAATGATATCGCAGATGCTCTGTCTCGTTTCCAGATGGATCGCTTCCGCTCGTTATCGCCAGAGGCGCAACAATTGCCGCAGCCTTTCCCAGAGCACCTTTGGAGCCTTGGGAACATGAAGTTATGAAGGGAGTATTGGCCTCAGTGGCTCCATCCATGTTGAGATCATACAAAAAGGCGTGGTCGGATTTTGTAAAGTTTCTTAACAGTGCATGCAACGCTAACATCACATCCCCTCCCTCGAAGTCCGAAGTCCTAAAATACTTAGTGCACCTGAAAAGCTTAGGCAGAGCTGCAAAGACTCTAAACATCCAGTCAGCCGCAATATCCTTCTTTTGCAAGGTGGCTTATTCCACAGACCCTTGCGCGGACTTTGTTGTGCGCAAGGCGCTAGAGGGATGGCGTAGGTTGCAGCCCCCTAGCAATGACAAAAGGAAACCCATAACATTTGACATCCTAAGCCAAATTCACAAAAAATTAAGAACCATATGTTGGTCAAAATATGAAGCCCACCTATTATCAGCAGCTTATTCCATTGCATTCTTTGGAGCGCTTCGGATAGGGGAAGTTGTATGCGAAGGTGGCCAGGTTAATGCTCAACGGGGTATTTTGTTAAATGATCTGACCCTTTCCCGCTTCGATTTGGTTTTGCATGTGCGCAGTTCTAAGTCCGACCAGCAAGGAAAAGGGGCCCTTATTAGATTATTGGCAACAAGGAAGACAGGGCCTTGCCCGGTAAAAGACACCAGGAGTTTTCTTTACTTGAGACCTAACTTGTCTGGCCCCCTTCTAATTCATGACGATGGCTCCCTTCTGACTAGGCATCAATTCACACGGGTGATGCGGTTGGCAATTGCGGCTTGCGGCCTTAATGCAGCGGAATTTGCAGCTCATTCCTTCCGGATTGGGGCGGCCACCACTGCCATACACCTGGGCCTCTCGGCAGAAAGGATTAAGGACATGGGGCGTTGGAAATCTGATGCTTATAAAACCTATATTAGAAAAAATCAATGACTAATTACGCCAGACCTGATCATATCTTGTCATTTCATTTCCCTTCTAGGAGACGCGAGAATTCGTATTTGGATTGTGGGCCACAGTATCGTTCACTGGGCAGCAAGGCGGGCTGTTGCGGCTGACTTAGGGCGAGGGCTGAATTTACCCCCAAATGTAGATGTGACATGGATTGCTAGGAGGGGGACGCGCTGGGCCGAGTTTATGCTGGTCGTGAGGAACAGAGCCTCGATCGAAGGCCCACCAGATGCCTTAGTTATCCAGCTGGGGGAAAACGATTTAGCCTATCGAAAAGCCATAGACTTACAATGGAACATTTTCAGAGACTTTGACGAGCTACTTACCTCTTATCCCAGAATTAACATTCTGTGGTCATCATTGTTGGAAAGGTGGACTTGGAGGGATTGTCGCTGCCCTATTGCGGTGAACAGAGCCAGAAATATCCTGCAACATACTGTGGCACGTAGAGTGGCAGCTCTGGGGGGGGGGGATGGGTCCTTGACCACCCCAATATCCAGTTTGCCAAGGTGGCCCTCTACAGAGATGATGGCGTGCATCTTTCGGATGCTGGAAACGATGTTTGGCTGAGCGATATTATGTCAGGGATTAGGGATTGGTTACAGGCTTGAGGGTATTGGCAGCGAGCTTGGGCTCAATTGGCGGTTAGGCATTGGTAGGGGTACTGTTGTATTGTTATGCAGATGAAGGGGGGAAGGAAGTGCCATCACCTTCCCCCAAATCAAAGGGTAGTCCGGTAAAGGATTCTGGGGGGCGTGGCCTTGTCCTAAGCCTATGGAGGTGTGGGCCCATGGCACGCCCCCGCTCGGTGACCCTGGGGGAGATCCCAGTTGACGTGCATCAGCGGGACTCCCCCTACTGGTGGTTAACCCTTACCAGTCTTCAAGCAAGCAGGCTGAAGCCGGTTAGTTGTTCGGACCAGTGCCTAAGCCAATACCGCTCAATTCCTGTAATCAATAAAGTTGTGGCCTAATTTGACCCATTAACTCGAATTCTTGTGTCTCGTGTCTTTATTTCTGAGGGGGGAGGCTGGAACTCGCCACGCAAAGCCACTTCCGAGCTAGGGAAGAGGTGGGGTTGCGGGCTTCACGCCCCTCCCCACACTCGCAGGGGCTGGCTTCAGCCCCCGCGATACCAGGGAATCCTCGGACGCATCATACCCCGAGCCAGCCAATCGGCTGGCCCAGGGGGCGTGGCCTCGCCTTACTAAGGTCTGGCGCGGCCGAGGGTCTCCCTCTTTCCCACGCCGCAGCTGACCAGGTTTTCCCTCCCCTCCCACCCGTTAGGCTAGGCTCTCTGACGTTGCTATGGACTTCGGTTGGTCACCGTCAAGGGGCCTGGTAGGAATTTTCCCAATTGGCAGATTGGCACCAGCCACTTGGTTTTTGCCTACCTCGTAGCAAACCGTCACAACTCCCCAGTATCGCCACGCAACAGTATCAGGAAGTGGTCCTTGCCTGTTCCCCCTCCAGCAGAAAAAACCTGGAAGCTCCCCTCTTCTTTTCTTTTCCTTACGTGGAAAACTACAAGATGGAAACTGCTCTTTTCTCTCTTTGGTAGCAGCCTTTGTTTTTTTGTGTGTGTGTTTTTTGCGAGTAAATTTTTATTATTTTATCTACATATTCTTGTTCCAACAATCCATATTATTAACATACATTCCCTTTGACTCTGCCGAGTCTTGACTCCCCTCCCTCCCTCCCTACAACTAGTATATTTAACTGTTGGGATTTTAGCCCCCACCAATTGCCATGCTGGCAGGAAACAGCAGATGCTGTTTACATCATGTGGTTTGGCACAGCGTGAGAAAGGATGTGAGATTCTGTTCTCAGCGTGACTCTCACTGTGTGCTGAGAGGAGGAGTCTCTTTAAGTCTTCTCTTCGACTCTCAGGAGAGAGCTGGGTGTGTGGCAAAACCCAGGGCTTGACTGCTCAGACATGCAGTCCTTTGTGTTTGTTGTTTTGCAGTAAATAAATGTAGTAATGAAACTACAAGACTGCCTTTTCCCTCTGATGTTTGCAAGGGAAATTAGTATGCTTCCTCATGAGAGAGAGGCTGCTTATTTGACCGGTCACCTGGACTGAAGGAGGATTCCTGAACGGCAGCCAGGGAGTGACCATCGGAATGTTTCGCCTTTCGAGTGCACCGGGCGACCCCCTTTTTTCTTCGCGCACATTATTCTTACATTGATACTATTATACATTGAATGTATTATGCTAATCCTGCTAGTGTCTTAACATTTTTGCAGTTCTCCTTTAGATATTCAATGAATTTACTCCAGTTATTCTTGTATCTTTGGTCTTCCTGGTCTCGGATCCTCCCTGACATTTTGGCAAGCTCTGCAAATTCTGTCATCTTCACCTGCCACTCCTGGATGGTTGGTATATCTTGTGTTTTCCATCTTTGGGCCAGGAAGGTTCTTGCAGCGGCCGTAGCGTACATAAATTCTGGTCTCCCCTTTTGATTTCCATTCCTATTAGACCTAATA